ATGCAGCCAACATCCAAAAACCAATAGTGACCCCATTTTGTCTCAAACATTGTTTTTTTTTGTTTTTTTTGTTTTTTTGGTTTCTTGGTTTATTGGTTTTTTGTTTTTTTGGTATTCCCTCTAAATTGGGATAGGCTTGGATCTCACAAAATTGCTCAAAAAATAGCTCAAAACCTCAATTTTGGAGAGGATTTTTCAAGAAATCACGGTAAAACACAGTGCTTTTGCTTCATTTAAGTTTAACGGTGGAATTTGATGTTAAAGGATTTCAATTGATTTTGGTATTAGACTTCAATTAAAACGCTTTCAGAATTATTGGTGGAAGTTGATTTATCATTAGCTTTCTATTAAAAATGTGTTTAAGATTAAGTGTAGATTGTTTACAAACTAAGTTTCATTTATATCATTGTCAAAATCATTGGGGAAATTGATGTTTATATTAGATTTCAATTAGCATTTCTTCAAGATTAATCATAGAAAAATGAATGTGTAATTCAACTTCGATTAAATGCCTTTTCAAGATCATTGTGGCAATTGATTTTGAATTAGATTTCAATTAAGATCCTATTATATTTCATTCTAGAAATTAGGCATTACTTAAATGTCAATTAATGTCCTTTTCAAAATCATTGTGGAAATTGCTTGTTGTTCAGATTTTAATTTGAGTTCTTTTCAACATAATTTGATTGAATTGCTTGTGTATTGGATATCAATCAAGACCCTTTTAGAATTGATTGTGAAAATTAACTTTCAGTTAAGAGTTAATGGTGGAAATCAATTCTTATAATTAGATGTTAGTTAAAGTCCTTTTATTTGATGTAGCCTTGTAGTGGGGAGCAAACAGATACAAAATCAATTCAAGTTAGTTAAGCATCACAATTTCCACAATTGATCTTAAATCGATTTTAAACACAATCTGATATTAAATCAAAGCCACCACTAACTTTGAAAAGGACTTTGACTAAAATCTAATTGTAAGAACTAGTTTCCACAATGAGTTTTAAAGAGAACTTGGAAATGATTTTTATTGCAATCTAATATCTAATAAATAGCAAATTCCACAATCAATGTTAAAAGGATCGTGATTGAAATCTTCTAATTTGAGTTTGCCTAATTCTATTTTAATTCCAGTTTAGTTAGTTTAAGAACACACATGTTACAAAACCCTATATTTTACAGTGTTTTTTGCCCTAGGAGTGCTGGGAATAAGACACAAACTATGTTTTTGAGTAGATAGTATTTGTTTAAAGTAATCCCTTGGAATATTCATTGCTATATTAAAACTGCTTTATGTACAAACTTCTAATTCAAAAGGTTCCCTCTAGATCTGATCACTTCTGTGAAAAATATAAAGCTTTCATTTCAAAAGCTTTCCTCTGGATCTCTGGAAATAGTCATGGTATTTTAAAAAAGCTATAAGTATGTATGTAAGTGTTTCTTTCAAATGCTTTCCTTCAATGAAAATACACAAATCTAGGAAATCTACTTTCCCACAAATCCAGAGGAAAGCTATTGAATCTAGAGATGTATAGTATTATATCTTCATTCGCTCATGATGCTACATTCATTGTGGGCAGAGAGAGATTTACATGATAATATTTATCATTGGTGTTGCACATTGATAGTGGGCAGACGAAGAGCTGTTATTTGTTGTCATTGACATTGGACATGGAGACTGGGCACAGACAGATCCAAAAAATTGTGTTTCGCCTAGTTCTCAGAGCAGTTTTTGAAATTTTGCTCGGTATTTACAGTGTTTTCTAAGGGTTTTGAGCTAGTGTGTGCTCTCCCAAGCACACCCACCCTCCATTAGAAGAGGTTTCCTTATAAGGGGGGGCCCCCCGTGTTTTTTATTAGGTGGACCGGATTAATCTCGACCCTATGGTACTATCCCCAATGGTAACGGTGGCTGTGAGGGTGGCAACTCAATAACTTAAATGTCCCGAAGAACATAGCAAATCAGTTGGTTCTGTGCAGCAAACTTTGAATCAGAAGGGGACCCCGTTCCCCGTTATGCGCCACGTGCTCTCTGTGATTTCGGGTCTTCGAACGTGCCGAAAGCACATCCCCGACACCTATCTCTGCGCCTCCGGCGGCGCGGAGGGCGCCCTGCAGGCTGCCCAGGGCGCCGAGGAAGTCAGAGTGGCGCAGGAAATAGGCGCAGCCTGGAGGGAGTGAGCCGCCTGGTGCCTTCAATTCCACTTGTACGGTCGAGTGGAGCGCTCAGATCTATTTTGCAGGTCGAGTGGAGCATATCGGAATATCGTCGTTTATTCTCTCCGGAACTTTGGAGACTTTGAATGAAGCTCTGAAAGCAAAGCTGTTTATTTCTATCAAAGGTTCTGGCCGCTTTGGAGACGAGGGCCAATGCCAAAAGTGTCACAGTCACTGACAGTCACCCCCCACAAAATGTGCAAGAATGCTCTATACCCGCAAAGTGTTTACCATGCCCTACTGGCAGTTCAATTCACTGACTTTACTGTACAATGAACATGTATTGAAGGACCAACCATCATTTGTTTCTTTAAGTCCCCACATGTATATCTGATAAAAGTTTGATGCAAAAAGCTACTAGGGGCTCCTGGCATCGCTACTAGGAACGAAAAGCTACTAGGGGCTCCCCTAAGATTGTCCCAAGCCGCCGCGGACCGGGTGTCCCGCTCGGACTCCTGGGCAATCCTCCGCTCGGACCCCCTCGCACCGGTGTCCCACCTCCGAGGTTCCGGAAGTTCAGGGCGATGGACTGAGCCGCGTGCCGCAGCCGTTTTGGAGCATCCGTTCGGTGGCCCGGAAGAAACATAATTTGGAGTCACAACATCTGCTGGCTCTGGGCCCCTCTCTCTCTCTCTCTCTCTGTGTTTGCTGTCCATGTTGTTTTAATGATACAAGCCCTAGCGGCGAATTCTATAGAATGAATGAAATCAACCCCAAATAGCCTCCAACTCATCACTTGACTAGGAAGCATGAAAAAGGCATCCCTTGTCATTTGTAGAACTCTTAAATTTATAACCTTGAAGCCCACAAACATTTCAATTACACTGTGATATATATATATATTGTATATATAAAAAACAATAATACATTATGTTATACATAAATGCAGTATACTACTATTGCAAAATATTGCAAACGCTTACTCTCCGTTCCTTTGTTCATGCCTTGCGGGCAATGACGTTCTTCTCATCCACGAAGCCACCGGCAAAGAACACCCTGCGGCCAAAAGAGCAAATCCACCAGCTCCGGTGATGGAACAAATCTCCCAATCAGGGTACATGCAAACCTGCAACCTCAAGTACCCTTGTACGGAAAATCCACCTTGCTTGGGGTCTCGTGCAGAGGGATTTGCCGTGTAACGCTGCTAAGTTTCAAATCGCATGGGGAAAAGACAAGTTGAAATTGGGCGGGTGCCAGCCATGCGCGCCACCGCTGGTACTGTCCACCGAGGTTGACACAGCGATGGCAAGTCTGTTTCCGTTGTTGACCTTCTTGTGGGACGCGCTGGATGAAATCAGAACGGAGGAGTGTCTGCAAGTGAGCTGAAAAAAGAACCCCGTTCTAAAATCCTCTAAAATCATTGTCCTAGGTTCAAATCACAGCAATTCCAAGCGGTGACTTTGGAAGTCCCATTGCTCTCTAGGTGAAGCCTCGTAACAAAGAACTCGGTCCTCAGGCCTGTTGATGCAGCCAGCAAGGCGGGCGTGAGCCGAGGCCAACAGAACTGACTGCTGAGTGACCATTTGCAACAAGGAACGTGCCAAGTCGTTCTCCTGGGCTGCGGACAAGGGCAAAATGCTCAAAACGCATCTAGTGGTCCTTCAGACGGTGACACTTTCCACCAGGTCACTGCACTCTGGTATACTATTGATTTGAGAACTTGGTCATGGTTCATCACCAAAGCAAACGCACCAGTCGACTGAAGTCACCATGTCACGCCAACGCTGCTAAGCCACGCAGCATCCTTCAACACTCTCACCTGGGTGGCCAATGGCTGTGGGACGCATCGGTAGGTCCTAGGGTTGTGAGCAGGTTTCCCCATACCTCCTGCATCCGGGTGCAAATCTGCACCAGGATGCAACTAAACATAACTAAACTCTCTCTCTCTATATATATATATAGATATGTTGAAAGCTTCCATGAATGCCACCAGCACTCTTCCTTTCAGGTTCGTGCATGGCCGTACGTTCGTTCATCCGAGGGCAACCTTTTCGGCTGGAGTCGAAGGAAAAAGGCTGCCCGCTGTGGGATGGAAGGGTTTCCGTCCGTGCCAGTGTTTCGACATTGGTAGCGGAGCCTGGGGTAATAGACCCTGGGCTCCGAGACGGATCTTGGCGCCGCCATGAATGCCACGTCGAGCGACCATGGAGGTCTCAAGTATTTTTCCGGTGATAGCGAAGACCAGAAAGAATATCGTCGCTGGAAGGCATGGGTCCAAGCAAAGATGCTTACCCTAGACAAGATGCCCAAGGAAGCCCGTGGTGCATACGTGTTCACTCTGCTGTCTGGCAAGGCCCTGGAGTGTGTGGAACACTTAGAGCCATCAAAATATCAGACTGCTGATGGAGAAAAGGTTTTGTTTGAGCTTTTGGACGCCCGCTTCCCCCAGAAGGAGATGTCGGATGAGATGTCCGAGACCCTGACCGAGATCTTCAATCTGAAGATTCACGAAGGAGAAAGCCTCAAGGCTTGGATCAGCCGTGCTTCGGAGATGTTTGACCGCTGCTTGAGGAAAACCAATGTTTCTTTCCCGGAAGAGGCCAAGGGCTGGTTGATTTTACATAGAAGTGGCCTCTCCAATGAGCAGAAGGCGGTCTGCTTGGCTCGGTCTTTGGGGGTGCTCAAACGCGAAGAGGTTGGCAAGGCAATGAGATCCTGCTACCCAGAGTATGTAGGGTCGAAGAAGTCACACTCTGGAGCAGCTGTTGTTGAGACCGACTTCATGGAGCCGGACCTACAACAGGCTGTTGATTCTGCTGAGGAGTTTCACGATGTCGAACAGTTCTTAGCTGAACACGAACTTGGAGAAGCCCTCGACGACTCCGAGTGCTTCGAAGAAACGGAGGTGGCTGAAGCTTTAGCAGCTAGCTGGAAAGACAAGCGTCAAGAGCTCAACCGCTTGCAGAAGGCTCGTCGCTTCTCCCAGGCCACTGATGTGAGACGCTCATTCCGCGTCGAGGTCGAGGAGTTGAAGAAGAAGACCAAGTGCCATCGCTGCGGACAGATAGGCCACTGGGCTCGTGACTGTCGCCAAGGGGGTAAAGCCAAAGGAAAAGGTGCAAAGGGTGGTGATCGCCCTCGTGAATCCGGAGCTGCCGTGGTGGTTGAAGAGACACCTGAGTTCTTTGTCGCCATGGTACAATCACACATGACCATCCTGGAGCGCCTTAGGCTGAAGCGTGTTGCCTCGACCTTCGAAGTTGATGGAGGTCCAGCTGCAACGGAGTGCCTATTGGTATCGAGTCCCGGTTTTGGGGTCATTGATTCTGGATGTGGACGCACCATTATTGGCAAAGACACCTTGGCATCCTTCCAAAAGCTGTGGAAAGATCGTGCCGTCCCTCTTCCGGTGGCCGAACCTGAGGAAAATCACTTTCGCTTTGGAAACGGAAACAAAGAAGTTTCTTCTGAAGTGGTGCCTATGCCGGTCAACATTGCTGGAAGAACTGGTGTGATTCGAGCTGCAGTGGTGCAAGGTCGAGCTCCTCTCCTGATCTCACGCTCAGCTCTGCAGAAGTTGAAAGCAGTGCTGGATTTTGATCAGTGCCGCATGACGTTGTTCGATGGAGCATGTCACGTCCCTCTGCAGATCAATATTTGCCGGACAATTTGTGATTGATGTGATTGGCTCAAAAAGTGATCGTGTGCCCACCTCGCCGAAGCCGCCTGATTTTGAAGAAGTGATGGCTTCTGTTCCTGATGGAGTGGAAACCTCCACTGTGGCCGATGATCATGCCGCTCCTGACGCAGAGCCTGAGTCTCTTCGGTCAGAACCCGTTGAGTCAGATGAGTGCTCTGCGAGTCCCTCGGATGTGCATAAAGATGTGTCCATATGGTCTCGTTTCGATTCGGATTTGACCTTGACACCCATCACCGGAAAGAATTCCCCACTATGGCGAACTGTTTTTCGTAGAGTGATCCAGGACATAGACACTGGCACAATCGTTTTCGATCAAACGATAGATCCAAAGGAAGACAAACGCAAATACGTGCAGCCGATGCCAAAGCATGTTCGCCGAACACGAACTGATTTCCATTTCACGCCCCAGGAATGCCTGTGCTCGACTGAGTGTCTGCCTGTACAGGTTGTCAGGAAATTGAAAGCATGTGTCCGTGAAGCCCCTCAGAGTGCTGGCACTAGGCTCGATGGCCGTCGTTTTCTCGTAGCCGAAGTGTTTAGTCCATCACGCTTCACTGGTCATATCCCGAAATGAAAAGGCTTTGTGATACTTATCACCCTGTCAAGTGTCATATGTGCCGGTTCGGGTTGAAGCTCCCTCAAAGTGATCGGTATATTCGCAAGGCCACTCAATTGCTGCTGAGTCATGAGCACATGAAGGGGTTATCACGCGTGTGTCCGGGGAAACAGGATCCACATCATAGCTGTCATGACATGATTGCTGGATCTCACCCTGATGTTGGCTCCGTGAGTCAGTATACAGCTCAGTACACTCCAGCTTTTGTTCGTGCGGTCCTTCGCACTGTGCCAGCATTTTGCAAGGCTGTCGAATCCCATTTGGTCCAGGTGCAGAATGGTTGTTCCATGGAAATGCATGAAGTGCTAGCTAGCCGTGAAGAATTGCAATGTGAAGACGATGAGCGCATCACTAAAGCACTTCAGAAACTGCATAAAAACCTAGGACATCCAGCAACTCATGATCTTGTGAGGATTCTGAAGCATGGTTCTGCATCTAATCGGGCCATCGAACTGGCAAAGAACCTGAGCTGTGACTTTTGTAAGGCCAACATCCGACCACATGTGCCACTTCCCGCTCGACCGAACCGAGTCAACGCTTTCAACCAGAGTGTCGGAGTGGATGTAAAATGGTTGCCAGGGTTCAAACCAAATCAACAAATCAAAGCACTGAACATGGTAGACCAAGGCAGTTGTTTTCAACAGGTTGTGCCTTTCTTCGAGCAAGAAACCACTGAAGTGATTCGCAAGCTGTTTGATACCCACTGGGTTAAATGGGCAGGACCACCCCAAGAAATCATCGTTGATCAGGCTAGAACCGATCTAGGAGAAGCTTTTCAGGGATGGCTGGACAATCAGGGAGTTTCCGTTCGCATGATCCCCGCCGGTGCACACTGGCAACTCGGCAGGACAGAATCTCACGGAGGATGGTTTGGTCGAGTTTTAGATAGCACCTTCCAATCAAGCGGAATGGGAGGAATGCGTTCGACATGCCCATGTTAAGAACCATATGATCCAGGGCTATGGATATACACCTCACCAGCATGTTTTCGGACGCAACCCGGAACTTCCTGGAGACTTGCTGAATGAACCACTCCATGTAGTCCCCGGCACTGCTGGTCTCAGCGATGATGCGGTAGCACGAGCTCAAGCTATTCGCACGAGCGCCCGACATGCAGTCATTGCATTGCAGGACGACAAGGCACTTCGCCATGCATTGGCTGCCAGACCTAGGGCGACAATTCATTTTTGTCCGGGAGACCTTGTGTGTTACTGGCGAAACCAAAAACTAGTGGGAAAAGGGGTCGTGCAACAAGGTGGACGTTGGTACGGCACTGCCGTCATCATAGGTCAGATAGGAAAGAATTGGATAGTTGCTCATCGACGTCAAATCATCAGGTGCGCTCCAGAACAGCTCCGTCCAGCCACCACCGAAGAACGGACTCTGATTTCGTCGCCTCAAGCTGAGTTGTTAGGTGTGAAAGATCTCATTGAGGGAGGAACCTTCAAAAGCCACCAACTGATTGATTTGGTCCCAGGTCACTACCCTACCAGTGAATCTAGTCAGCAGAGTCCGGATACAGGCACACAAGAGAACCCCGATGTACAGAAACCTGCTGTGGACGAGAAGGCAGTGACACCTCCCAGTGTTCAACCGATGACTAGAGATGATGAACCAAAGCCGACCATCCAACCACCAGACTGGAACGCAGAACAAAGCAATGTGCCATCAAACACCAGCAGTGCATCAACTGACCGTCCTAGGGATACACCTCAAGCAGAATCTAGTTCTTATGGTCCCATCCGCAGACGGGTCGATCAGAAGTCAGGTGCCACCGCGTTGTATCGTCCAGCAGCCATGAGACAAGAAGACTTCTTGGAAGTCATCAAAGAAGTCGTGCCTCGTTTAATTGATGAAGCCATGCAACCGACCGATGAGTCCATGGATGCCGGCTTGAAACGACCTTTGACGCCATCTCATGCCGATGAAGTCCAGGAACCACCGACTTCGAAACACAGAGGTTCTGAGGATGATGAAGTCCTTTCTGTAGAGGAAATCAATCAACACTTGTCTCAAGGGTCCATCGAGTCTTTGATTGCAGCGTACATGGAAAAGAAACTAAGTAAAGAAATTCCTCCATCAAACAACCCCCCAGAACTGCAGAAGCTAGTAGATGAATCAAAGGGAGTTGAATGGAACACAATAGCGGATAAGCAAGCAATTCGCTTACACTTCGGTAAAAAGGCTTTGAAAATCAAGGAACAGTTCGCCGATCGATTCATCGGTTCTCGATTCGTGATTATTCGCAAAGCAATTCAGGACGGGATAGCCGTAGACATACATGATCCAACCACTTTCAAGATCAAGAGTCGATGGGTGGTTCAAGGTCATCTCGATCCTGACTTAGCCTTGAAAGCCGAAGAAGGCATGCTTCAGTCGCCGACCTTGAGCCAACTAGGTAGGATGACCTTAATGCAAGTCATCGCATCTTTTCGTTGGAAACTGCAACTTGGTGACATCAAAGGAGCATTCCTTGAAGCCGGCTCGTTGCCTGAAAAGTACAGACCGCTATATGCCAAGATGCCTCCTGGAGGCATACCCGGAGTTCCAAACCGGGAGGACGTGGTGATCGAGATCGTTGGAAACATCTATGGACAGAACGATGCACCAAGAGCTTGGCACCGAACGTTTGACACTGAAGCTCTGAAACTCGGCTGGACTCGATCGATCTTGGATCCTTGTTTGTACACCTTGCGTTGTCCCAAGGCACAAAAACTGGTGGGCATTATGGGAATCATACTGCAGTAGGCGGTGATGGTCACTACTTTGAAGAAGTGTTAGGACAAATGAGATCTCGGTTTCCCTTTCGAAAATGGCGCATTGGCAATGGTGAGTTCTGTGGTGCTCTGTATGAACAATGTGAGAAAACGAGTGAGATCACCATGTCACAACAATCCTTTGCAGAGGGCCTTCGACCCGCGTCAATTCCGAAGGGAGTGCCAGCCTCTCAACCCCTGACTGATCAGCAGTCCCGAGTTCTAAGGGCAATAAACGGGAGTCTCAACTGGTTATCATCGCAAAGTCGACCTGATCTTTCTTGCCAAACCAATATGTGTCAACAAGGGTTTCCCAAACCAACCATTCACAATCTCCGAGAAGCAAACAATGCTATCCGTAGAGCAAAATAACACAAAGACTTGAAGATCTTGTTCAAATCCATCAAACCGGGAGATTTGACGGTGTGTTGTCATTCTGACGCAGCCTTTGCAAATGTGGGTTGTCATACTCAAGCAGGTTATGTGTTGGCCTTTGTTGAAAAGCAGTTGAATGAAGGAAAACTATCTGCCTGGACTCCAGTGACTTGGCGTAGCTACAAGCTTCCTCGAGCTGTGAGCTCCACTCTAGGGGGGGAGAGTCAAGCGCTGGCAACCGCCAGCGGCACCAAGCTTGATGCTGGCGGAGATCTTGGACGGACCTTTCGATGCTCGTGAGGCCAGAGAGTTGTTGAAAAAGAGGTCCCCAATAGTCACTGTCAAGAGACCCCCAGTAATGGCTACCGATTGTAAAAGTCTTTATGATCATTTGGTGTCACCATCATCCCCAACAGCTATTGAGGATCGCCGAACAAGCATAGACATCGTGATCTTGAGAGAATCGTTGAAACTCACCGGAGGATGCATTCGCTGGCTGCCCACGAATAGAATGATCGCCGACGGACTGACGAAGGACCGTCAAGAGCCCGCAGACCTTTTGCGAGCGTGCATCCGACGGGGGGTGTACCAGATTTCTCCAGAAGACACCATCCTTCAGCAGCAGGCAGAAGAAAGATTGCGAAGACAGCACTTAAAGAGTGCTACTCTGCCGGAGGGGACGAATTCGTAATAGTATATATCCGGCAATTTGATCGCTTCTTTTAGATGTGCTAAAATATACACTTCAATCCAATAGGGATGGATTGTAACGGGTTATTTGAGTTCGTGAGAAGCTTTTGACTTGCGGTTTATCACTTCTGCATGTTTTTGCAAATAGTGCATTTGTCAAGGTGTATGCTGCGAGGTTTCGTGTCCACAGTCTCTGGTTTTTGGTTGTTTTGAGTATTGTGTTTACTTGTGATCTCAAGTGCTTTTTGTTTGTTTGCATAGCGTTTTGTGTCAAGCAAGCTGATTCAAGCGAAGTCACGATCTTGCATTCTTTGTTTTTCTCGAGCATCATGCCATTGACGCCTGAAGAGCACAGCCAGCTGAAACATCTGCTGGAAAAGGCCTCGACCGATTCAGCCACAAGACCATCCTTGTTGGTGGAAGGACCACCTGAGAGCTCATCGTTTTTCGTTGGTGATACTGACCAGTCCGATGCCGGCTTTAGTCTTGTCCCCTTCTCCAATGAGGTTGGGGGAGCTATGACAGACGCGTCCAAGCGTCGTGACGGGTCTTTGATGGAGCACCAACAGCCAAAGAAGCCTCATGCCATGCCCAAGGCCGTGTTTCCACTTGGAGCGATGGGAGCCGCACCAATGTCCTCCTTCTCCCCTGAGCATGTCAGCGGAACACCTATGATGAACAGTTCCGATGCCTCAGCTGGATATGTCGCTTCAATTCAGTTTGCACCACCTATGCCTCAGTCCGAAAAGTCTTCGAATTTGGTGCCTGAGCTGCCGCCACAGGTAGAAAGTTTGGAAGAATGGGGTCGCACAGTGATCCAATTCGGGCAGTACAAAGGCTGCAACATGTCATATGCCGAGCTTGCCAGTTCCGAGGACTCTCGAGCCAAGAGCTACATCAAGTGGGTGACGGCTCGTCACCGCAGCTCGACAGGTTTGTTGCATGATCTCGCAGGATACCTGGTAAGGTACCAATTCGAGATCGATTACCGCCTTGATGAGGCCTGGTCCGGTACTTGCATTCCCGGAACCTCAGTGCCACGAGCCATGAAGTAAAAGAAAAGATAAAATAGTGAATGTTGAAAGCTTCCATGAATGCCACCAGCACTCTTCCTTTCAGGTTCGTGCATGGCCGTACGTTCGTTCATCCGAGGGCAACCTTTTCGGCTGGAGTCGAAGGAAAAAGGCTGCCCGCTGTGGGATGGAAGGGTTTCCGTCCGTGCCAGTGTTTCGACAGATATATAATATAATATATATGTATACACAGTATACAGTAATTGCATGATGATGGATGCATGTGTACCTGAATCTTCCTACGTCGGAGCGCCCAACCAACGGGAGCCGCGGATCGAGGGTGTTTGGTCCGCCCACACGTGAGCCACGATGGTTGGTTTCTTTTACGATCTTTTGTGGCGAAGCCACGCACCAAACAGAAAACACGGTAAGAAGCATCCACCGGCTCCGACCCCTGACAAGTGGAGTGACTAGCTTAGCGCCTTCTTTACTACAGGTATTGAAATTCGACAGCACGTTGTCTATTTTTCATCTTCGCTGTGAATGCTTCCACTTGCATCACTCCGAGAAAGGCTGAACCAGTGCCATCTCCAATGGACGCTCTCGTGAGGCACATGGATCCTCAGCTGGACACTGTCATCAATGGTGGCGTCCGCTCCAGTACTCTCTATCACCGACATGCGAAACTCATCTCCTTCAGTGAGCTCCATCGAACCCTTCCAGCGCCAGGACATTGCTCCACTGCAATCATGTGTCAGAAACTTCACCAAGCATTGATTTCAAGCTGTCCATCAGCGGAAAAGAAGGCAGTCACACAAATGATGTGTCGATCTCACCGGTGTCATCCAGCAGCCGAACATCCCCACTGTGAAAGTGGCCGCACGGGCCATGTATCGGGACCAAGGTTAGCTCATCGCCATCAACAACTCCATGCTCACACAGAATCCAGTCATCCTCCAAAACAGTAGTGCCAAACATCAGCTTCATGGGCGAATGCGACCACATCATTTCCTCTTCAGGATTGAATGCTTTCAGACAAAAGAACAAACACGACAATTGAACATTTGATCACCTTCAGTTTTCACATGTGTTCACTCAAACTGGCAGTTGTGGGGAAGAGTTGTGGGGCACTCAAGCCATGCAATCCCGTCTCTGTCAGCGAGAGAAGCGACACCTCTTGAGAGACACGACTGTTTCATGGTCCGCAAAGCTCAGCGCTCAGCAGTGTCTCTTCTCCACTGGCGGATTCGAAGCTGGTTGGTGCTTTCAACCCACTTGAAACATATAGTCAGAGGGTCCAATCATCCCCAAGTAAGGGTTGAAAACAACAATATCCGAAACCATCACCTAGGAAGGCATCTGAAACACAGTCGCTGGCAGCGGCTAGGATGGACAGCGTGGACCAGGCAGCTGAGGCAAATGCTGGATGGTTAGTACCTGCATGTACCTATAGTCCTGTTAGGTGATGTTAAATGTGTCTTGGGACATCTCATCCACGGTCATCCACTGAAGTTCTACGGAAGAAGCTTTATTTTGATGCTGGAAGTGCAGGATTTGCACGTTCATCCTGGTGATTGGTTCCAATGAAGAATTTCATCACAATCCATTCTTTCTCTAGGCAATGATTTGACCGCAAGTCTACACCCGTATAAATTAATGACTGGGGTCCGACATGATACAACAATTGTAAAGAGTTCCACTGGATGTGAGACTAACAAAGTTCACGTGGGGCAAATGATGGTTCACCCACAATATGCTTGAAGTGCACAGGGGAACGTGGTAGCACTCACAGATTCTGGCTAGACACACCAATATCTCCATGTTGGGAAGGTCTGCGCACTGCCTAAAAAAACAGCCCAGTAACCAACTCCGGCAACTCCAGCGATCCTAATCCGTCCAACCAGAATGGATCCCTGACACATTTCTTCTCAGCTACAGCTGCTAAGGGATGCTAAGGCTGCTAAGGGTGCCTTCCAAGCATGTCGGTGTTGCCTCTTCCATCCTCTCTCCGCCGGTGTCATGCATCGGTCACTTCCGCCCAGCAGCCCAGCTTTCCAAAGTTCGACGCCGTCAAGTTCCCCGGCAACCCCAACGTGGAGCACCCTGCCGCGTGGCGCGTTGTCCGCGGTGTCCGCGGTGGGGTGGGCAAGTTCGCCCCCCTGCGGTGGGTCGGAAGGTGGTTCTTATGGTCGGAACCATAAGGTTCCAGGATAGGTCTCCACCCGTTCGTAGCGATGGCCTTCAATCTCCAATCGAATTCCGATGGCCTCCACCTATTGCGATGGGTCCAGCGGTCTTAACATGTCTTAACTAAAGCTGTCAAGCTGTCAAGCTCTCCGGACAAATCTGAGTACCTCGGCATTGCATTGTAGAACAAATGCATCGTAGGAAATGGACAGAAGCGCCCCAGTTCAAAAAGACCTCGCCCGGGGATTGAAAGACCAGGCACTGCACCAACTGGTTTTGCACTATTACTCTCCTGGTGATGGAGTTCGATATTCGTCTGCCATCCCAGTTAAGGGTTCTGAGAGGGCTTTCCTTTGACCACAATGATCAACAGTCAGTGTTCCCTCCTTGCCGAACATGAACAAACATTGGGTGGCCGGCCTTCCTCTCCGTAGATGTCACTCACAAGCTTGTCCTCAGCAAATCATGTGACCACAGACCACACAGTCTGGCCAGAACTCGTGTGGTGAACACGGCCATTCTTCTTCTTGCCGACATTTAACAACTGGGGCGGACCAAGCTTTCTGATATAGCTGTGTATGGGAAGACATGTGTGACGTTGGCCTTGGTGGGACACATCGGCAACCCGTCGCGCTCTCGCACTCTCTGGCCTCCAGCATGCCTGGCAGTCATGTCAGTTGGTCAAAATACGTTGAATTTATGTATCAAACGAATTTAACAATTCAGTTCAAGACCATGAGACCAGCCTGCTCTCTAAGAGTAGGGTGGACTTTATCTCAATCTGGATCCTCCAATCCGCACGCGCAATACTATCTAGCTAGAGTTATAATCTGCTTTCATATGGTAAGGCCAGAATCCTTGATTTAAAAAAAAGGCAAAAACAAGTCAACTGGAAAAGTCAAAGTCAAAAAACAAGTCAAACTGAAAAGTCAAAAAGAAGTCAAAACAAAGTCAAAAAACAAGTCAACAAAAAAGTTAAAAAAAAAAAGAAACCAAAATGTCCAGTCAAGCGACTCAGGAGCAAAAGAAAGCCAGCATATATATTATATATATATGGAAAACACAGGCAAAGAGGACAACAACATTGAACTAAACTAGTAACAAGCTCATAAGTCAGCCAAGGCAAATTGCAGCCTTTTTGCTTATGGCTCATGGCTTTCAGTCAATTAAAAATTCTATTCAACTTTATAACTTTCACCTTTTCCAGCCCCAAGCCAGCCCCAACCCCCTACCCCAGAGTCGCAGGACCCCTACCCAGCCCCAGCCACTGTCCCAGGGTCTCTTCAGCCCCAACCCAGCCCTGTCCCTGGTGGCCCTGGTAGCCACCCCAGAGTCCCAAGTACCCAGCCCTGTCCGGCCCCAGAGTCGCGAGCAGAATTGACTTGTTTTCGACTTTTTGTTGCCTCCAGTAATCCGCCAATGCTAGGATCCGCGCTTGGTTTTCACATTTGACTTTTTTTTGGACTTTTTGACTTTTTGTTCGACTTTTTTTTGACTTTTTCCACTTTTGACTTTTTTTTGACTTTTTGTTGCCTCCAGTAATCCGCCAAGGCTAGGATCCGCACATTTGACTTTTTTTTGACTTTTCCAATTGACTTTTTTTTGCCGGCCCAGCCCCGCATGCCCCAGCCCGCCTGTAGCCTGCCTGAGCTCGACCTCAACCTGACCCCTCCGCCAGGAGCCAGCCGCAGCCAGCCCAAAGCCTGGCCCTGGCAGCAACCTGCCCCAAAATTTGAGCAGCAGCTGGCTTGGGGCTGAAGAGACCCTGGGACAGTGGCTGGGGCTGGGTAGGGATCCTGCGAGTCTGGGGTAGGGGGTTGGGGCTGGCTTGGGGCTGGAAAAGGTGAAAGTTGAACAACCAAAAAGGTTCTAGAATTTTGAATAGACTGAAAGCCATAAGCCACAAGCAAAAAGGCTGCAATTTGCCTTGTTACAAGTTTTTCCTTGACTTGTTTGCCTATGCTAACTGTTTTTTGATTTTTTGTTGACTGTTGACTTTTTTTTGACTTTGACTTTTGGGATTGACTTTTTTTGACTTTTTTTGACTTTTTTTTTTAATTTTGAAAACAGGTTCTTTCCAATGAAAGCATTTTATAAAGCTAGAGCTTCTGCGGCAAGCGGCTGTTGTTTTGACCTGACTATCAGTCGTGAAAAGTCATCTTCCCACCTATAGCACACTTTTCACTTTTGTTGCTTAAAAGGACAAGCAAGCAGAAATGAATGTTCTGCACCTTGATCGCACCGTCATCTTTTCTCAGGGTTCACTCGAGCAGCTTAGGCCCACCACTCCACCATCCTTTCCAGCTGCACCATGTGTTTCATTTTGCCTCTTTCCATCTCTTTCCCCTTCATCATCGTGCATCTCCCCCATCGCTCCCATTCTCCCATGTGGCGAGGCTCTGCATTGGAAGCGTCCCCCCAGCTCGCCATCTCCAGGGCCTCCTCAAAGCTCGTCGCCGAGGTCAAAAGCCTTGCCAAGCCCAGGAAGGTGCCTCGCACGGGCACGCTGGGCGAGCTGCACTGCGCTGGAAGCCGTTGGAGAGCTCACAATAGCTCACAAAGGTGCAGCTGGGAAAGGAAAAAGAAGGTGACATCCAAAACTCCGAACACCGCGCGCGTCCTTCCGAACACCGTGCCTCCGCCGCAGGCGGTGCCGCCCACACGCACGAAGTCGCCACACTGTGCTGAGTCCACACGGAGGACCGAGACTCCAGTACCTCGACATCCAACCGAAAGAGAAGGAACCCTGGAGGCTACAGAATCCATCCCTAGGGAAGGAGCCCATCCAGAGACTCAGAGACTCCAGGAAGAACCATTCATCGTCCCAACTCCTCCGGGATTTGCCACCCCTTTGGGGGGTAGAGGACGCTACTATAAGGGCATCGCTACGAACGGAGCAAGGACGCGAGAGGTGGTTTGTCGCACGAGTAGTTCTGAAAACAACGAGGCGGATGTGTTTTATTCCCAACGGACGAACATGTGGGTGGACAAGAATGATTGACCGAAAAGTGACCGGTCAAGGGACTGGTCATCGTTGCAATCTACATGCATGCATCTGTTTATATCTTATTGCTGCCAGGAGTTCCTGCGGGGATGAACATGCCTTCTCAAGTTGCACAGGTAGAGCAACATGAAAAGTCACAAAGGCTATTTCCTGGAAATTGTCCATTGGATGTTGCAGTAGAGCATGGATATGGTTCAAAGGATATTTCTAGTAGCATATGGATATTTGTTCAATTGAACATCGAGCCGGCTGTTAACGTGGAGAATCAAAATTGGTTTCAGGCGGCTGTTCATGCAGGCCACCAGCAGTCCAACCGCTCTTTTGTCTCAAGTTGTCGCAAAGTATCCTGGAAGGAAAAACGCTCTGCCAACCTGTATCAACCTGTGCATGATCGAGGAACAACTGCTATAGAGGCTATACTTGATACTCCTGTCGAAGTCCTTTGTCGGAAGGAAGGCCTTCCTGGTTGTAACTTCTCTCATGTTTTCTATTATCTTTCAAGTCTTGCCTTCATGTGCTTCATCCATCTTCATCCCAAGGCACCCATGATGACCAGGATCAATGGAAAAAGCGGTTCGGGCCATGGTCTGGACACAGTCGTTCCGTCCTGGCGTCCCAAGAGAAGCTGCGCCTTTTCTTTGTGTCTGTGGGGAACTAACGCCCAAGAAGTGGTCAGGAAACTCTTTGTAGCTGCTTGATTCCCTTTTTTGAGGGGGGCATGTTGCTATTAGGTTGAGAGATCAGCTTCCAATCGCCACCAGCTGGAGATTCGGTCAAGAAACTGGAACCGAACATCGCCCGGGCAAGCGCAAGGCTAAGAATTCATATGGTTCCTCCAGTGACTTCAACCGAATGCGCCTTCAGATCAGATCGGATGCTTGTGTATTGTTGCGACCGATTGATGGGACGACGGGGTTCTGATCTAATCAGTACTGCTGGTGGTAGAGGACTGCAAGTCAGCCATGCTCCTGGACTAAGCCATTCACTAGGCCTTTGAAATGCAGGTTTGCATACAGTTTCGTACAGTCTTTTGCTGCTATGCTGCGTGTACACCTTGGATCTTGATCAATTCTTGGCAAAGCTTCTGAGCTAGCTAATATGAAACTCCATGTCAGTTCCCATCCTGTTGTGACTCTAGCTGCCTTATTGAACTTGCCAGCCCTAGGAAGCATGAGCTTGTCTAATGAATGACCTTGGTCAAGCTATATATGTCAAGCCAACATGCTTCTCCCGTCAGGAATGACCGAATTGAATATGAAGACCATCTGCGAGTTTTATCGTATGGGCCAAGACCTCGTGTGAAACTCTGTAGGCCATAGCAATGAACTAGCGATGGCCTCTTGCTCCTAGTAGCTTCTTGCTCCTAGTAGTAAGGCCAGGAGCCCCTAGTAGCGTCCTTGCTCCTAGTAGCGATGCCCTTTGCTCCGTGGATTCCTCGTTGATGGTGAAGATGTCTTGATGGCTCAACTCATTGCTGCCGCCAGTGCTGTCCGTGCCTCGTTGGCGAGGAATTCTGCAATTTGGTGAGTCAGAAGTGAGTCACAAGTCAGAACTTAATCAAGAACTATGCAGCGTAGCTGGCTACGGCAAGCCTAGCGGAACATCCTGAAAACACTGCCATGGACACACAAGGAGCAAAAAGGACATACAAACAAAGACTTGGATGACTGCACGCTTGAGGACTGGACACCCAGTTCCAGGTCTTCCATGGGTCTCATGTTGCGAAGACCAGTGTTTTTCGGACGAGCGCTGAAATTCCGAATGAACCAATTCAATTAAACATATATATATATAAATATAATATATATAATATACATAAAATCCGGAAATCCCTTTCCCACTAAGACATCTATTATATTCTATTATGATGAATGATATTTATAGATTCATGTTATAGTCTTTGCCGCCCCAAGTGCCCAGGGAAGCACTGGGCGCCAAAAGAAGGAAACCATCCACCATGGCTCGCATCTCCCGCACGGGCTCCAACTCCACCTGTCCACCGGCAGCGCCGGTCGCGACCCACTGCCGCTATCGCGAGGCAAGCGTCCCTCCCAAAGCGGATCACCCGGACAAACGGGGGTTGTTCAACATGTTCAACCCATTGTTCTTAGAGAATCGCCTGACGAGGACCGCAACTCTTGCCATGTTCTAGAGGAACTATCAACGGGGATGTGACGGGTGTGTGGATGGGAGGAGCCCCGTTGGGTGTGGGTGAGTCCTGTCATCTGTCAACAATTGTTGCGGGGGGCGTTCTGTCAGAGACAAACGCACATGTCACACGCGGTTGGATCCGGACAGCATCTTTTGCACCATAGTCTGATCTGATGGCAAACGCCAGTTGGATATGAACTTGCTCTTGCGTTTGGTGTCGTTTCATTGTTGTCGCCCCACTGCCAGCCGCCAAGACCTGTTCAACCACTGTCGGGATGTCCAATGGAGTCGAACCCCTCGATCCGAGGGTGGTTTCGTTATGACGTTGGCAAAGGGGCTCATCATCCAGCATCAGTTCCCCCCATCCAGCATCCAGCTCTTGATTGATTTCGACCACGCTCCTAACTGGTCTTCAGCAAAGCGGAGTTTCTGTGGCACTGTTCATTAAGGATCCAGTCGTAATAATTAGGAACCAGGTGGATATGAGTATACCCAAACACTTAATGCATGGCATATCTAAACCATTTTGTATACATTGACCTGTGAAACCACCAAACAGTAGTTAAATATACATTGCTACATGGAGTGCCTGGGTAATATTGTTTTTTGCTTCGCAGTTCTTTGGTGACCCCTGGTGGCCGCCTGGGTTTTGTTTCCGTCTGCCTTTACCCGTTCAAGCCAATTGTTTCGAACTGTGGCGGTAAAAGATCAACTAACTGGTGTCACAGTCTGCTGATGCTTGACCTTACTTATGACATGTTCAAACGATGAGTTTGGTGGATGGCGTGCCAGCAAGTACTAAAACCTTGCGCTTGTTGCATTGCCTATAATGCCTATAGCGGGTCTTAACGTGCCGCAGCCGTACCGGCTCAAAGTCGGATTCCACGGCAGACCGGGACATCGTGAGCACCGTTTCCCCCGACAAGGCGCGCGCAAAGCATCCCGGAAGAGGGGAGCAAATTTACAAGCGCCGCCGCCGGCGGTGGCCATTCGACCTCACTGACTGCTTGATATTTGTTTGGCCATTGGACACTCATGCACTGAGAGCATAGAGGAAACTGGTGAAGAACTGCTGAACCAAGTGTTGTTGAATGTTTATTGCTGGATACACATAATATATATATATATGCCATGAGCCATCATGAGCCATCGATCGCTGTCTGGCAACGGGGGCGGTCGCGTCAGAAGGGCATCCAAAGGCCGCTGGTGCCAAGATAGCAACTTTCAATCTTTCTGGCTGATTCCCCTTGATATGTCATTATTTATTCATTATATTACAATTCTGTTAAGTCTCCTTGCCTGGTTTTTTCTTGTATGTTGTCCGGCTACCTTCTTATCTTCTTCGAAAATGGAAAACACTCCACCAAGTCACGGTGGGCTTTGTTGGAAGAAGTGAAGACTTCATCGGACCAGCTGGAAAACGTCCGCGCAAAAGGCCTCCGCAAAAACGTGCCAAAACGAGAACAATTGCGCGAAAACGTATATTAACATTATGTTACAACTTCCATCCACCTACCAAGATCTTCGCCAACCGCACATCACTTTGAAGTGCCCTCCACTCTCTAAACAAACAAGACCCATTCTCCACCTTCATCTCTGTACCAGGCCTGCCCTCACTGTCCTCGCTCTCGCGCCCCGGCGACATCGGCGACCGCTCCCGCTCGGCGCTGCCGCGCAGCTGGGCCAGGCGCACCAGGTGGCCTTCCGAGGCCTGGCGCCGGCAGTCGCCCAAGTGCGCCACCGCTTCCTATGGCGACGGTCTTGGCGGACGGACGGACGGACGGTGGGTGCGCGTGGGTACAGCGCGGGCGATCGCAAGTGGCTTGTTTCTAGTAAGAATGGTTCTAGTAGCGATGCCAGGAGCCCCCGGTAGCGTCCTTGCTCCTAGTAGCAAGGCCAGGAGCCCCTAGTAGCTTCTTGTTCCTATAGTAGTACCAAGTGGGGCGGTCTGGTGTGCCAAATTCGGACACCACCCAACAGAAGTCCTCCAGCTGTGAGGTGGCACCAGACAGGAAGGTTAGCAAAAAGCTCTGATCCGCGTTCTTCAATGTCCTTGGCCAGTGCTCTATGGAAAAAGGTGCCCGTGTCATTCTAGCCGGCTTAGCTGTGGTTTCAGCATCATGAGCAATATGTTCTATAGAACCTGAAATCACCGATTCCTAGCAAAGACACATGCATGATTCCTTGCACACCCAAGGGTCATCTGCAAGTGTCGATGACAACCTCAGTTGAGATCAAGTCGAACTCCGGGTTGTGCAACACATGGCCCGCTGAAAACCGTCAAAATTAGATGGCCTAGCAAACTGTTCCAAAGTGGCCCTTCGCACACATCCGACCTCAAACCAATCGAAGATGGTTTAATGATCGGTCCTGAAATGGTCAACCACCTGGCTCTGCGGAGTTGTCATACCTGGTTACAATATCAACAAGCTCTTGCTTCAAGCCCCGGAGCGTCCTGAAGTACCGAACTTCTCTGGAAAAATCTCTGCTTGTTCTGCTTGATCTTCGGGAAAGGCCATGACCTTGCTTGCTTGGCGGGTGCCGTGGTGCGTGCTTTTTCTCATCTCTTGCGAATTCAAGGAAAACCTCTTGTGAGTTGAAGACCTGTGCCCCTGGAAGGAACAGCTTTTACAAAAGCCCAGTTGCCAGTGGAATTGCGGGTGGGAAACGAAAACCGCGCACCACTGCAATGCTTCAGGACACGTAGTTCTTCTTGCACAAGGAGTACTGCTTCATAAAATGGTATAGATGGTATAGGAACGCTGGGTGAACTGGCCTCAATAAATTTACAAGAACCCATAAAATCTATAGAGGAGCCTGGAATTTTGATTCTCATACCGTTCAGATTTGGCGGTGGGTCAAAGCCAGGATAGAGTACCTTGGTTGAACTACCTGGAAGGTCAAGCTACATGATGTTGGGCAGGTTTTGACAGGTTTTGACCCATCCCCATTTATCCCCATGTCTTCCAATCATCGCACCAGGATCCTCCAACCAAACCAGGGGGTGTCCTCAGTACAATCACTGGTGCTGTGTCTGGACTCCTGTTACACGGCAGCCGGTCGTTGATGCGTTTTCCGCTGTTGGAGGCACCATCTTGGCCAATGATCCGCCGATGTCGCAGCCCATGTGGCCTGGCGCATCTCCTTGGTCCATGGCGATTCACTCGTGTTGGTGTATGTTCTTTGTAAGTTATAGTTATAGCTGTTGGGCTGGAACTGAAAACGGTTCAATCCGATATTCTCCCGACCCTTGTGTCGGGCACTTCGGGATTTGGCTCACGGCATGAAAGCAGCAACGGACTGGGGAGAGGAACCAAGGGGCTCGAACGGACCTGCTCGGACATTTGAGCTCTATTTCCAGCGAACTGGGTCTGCTGAAGCGGCTCTTGAAGCTGACCGGGTCTGCTTTAATCAGTCATTGTCTCACGAGACTCCTAAAATAAAAACATGTGCGGCAAAAAGCTCATTTCCGCCTCAGGACAGAAAGAGCCGGATCGTCCTTGCTAATGCTTTGCGTTTTAACACAGTATTGTAATATATTGACCAACGCCTGAGCTGCACAGTCTCGCTTGCCTTTGTCTCTCTCTCTCTCTCTCTCTGCCTCTCTCTCACAGCTCACCAAGAATATCCAAGAATCGAATCTTCTGCAAGACCGAGAGCACCGAGGAGCAAACTTGTTTGCTGGAACCTCGCCCAGCGAGAGGGTCACCTGGAGCCACTGCCACAAGATGCCACAAGGCTTTGGTGTGGAGGATTGCAGCGTCACAGAGTGTGTCTTTTCTCAAAATTGCCCTACTCAGGGGTAGTTCAGGGCGCGGATGATTAGGAATGAGGACATCATTGAAATGACGTGAAGTGGATGGAATGTTGAGGACAACAACGCCGAAATTGTTGTTTCTGGCGTTGCAGTTCTGAAACTACCAATTGCAACAAGCATCTGGTGAATCTGGTGATGGCCATGTCTGCCAATGATTGAGCCTTCTTTGAGTGTGCCTGCTATTTCGAACAAAAACGCTGGTAGTGCAAACACGTGCAAACGCATCCCAAGCTAGAGGTGCTGCTTGATGTGCCTCCAAATGCGTCAGCACGTCAAACGCTGTAGCGTCAGGTGCGCATCGAAGTACCAAGTACAATTTATGCGGCAGGTGTGGGACGGTCAATTCTCACACCGTTTTAAAATGTTAACTTTGCAATTTTGTAATATATGAACGGTTTCCCGGTGTGAAAACATGACCACCCAAGCGGCCCCAGGCCTCCTAGTGTGGGATTCTAAAGGGGAAAGGGTTGTAGTGAGTTTGAGTTTCAAGAAGCAACTTTTGTCCGGCCAATGTATGGTGTCAACCCGACCCCATATTTCTGACTAGTTGGAGGCATGTTCAAGGACAATCAATCGAACAAGCAATAATGGTAATAATAGAAGCGAGCTGTCGCTTCAATTCGCAGGTTGAAAAAAGAACACAGAACGCGAAACCCATGAAGTTTCATCTTGCCACCCAGGTGTGTCCAGCTAATCATGTTGGTTCAAACGGAATTTTGCACGCTCAGAATAAAACAGAATGACAGAATGCATAAACAGCCCTGGTTGTTGCTTGGTTGTTTGATGAAGTGAGCGTTACAGAATCTTTGCGGGTAGAGTGGTGCCCAATCTCTTACAAGTCCCATCCTCCAGCCCATCCGAGCTCTGAGTGAGCAGGCTCTCATGGCTCACAGTGCGAGAACCTCGGACAACATTGACTGACTAACACAAAAGAATCAACACAACACACACACAGAGCACTATTACGCAAGGGGCCACGCACTTCATCTGCATCATTCAGAAGCAACAACAACTCATCAAAAAACTCTTCAAAGCAATTTCATTGGTTGGGATCATCCCCGGTGTTTGTTTTTCTCATGGGCTGCGCACTTGTGCATGTCTCGTATCTCAACCATTCGACGTGATGGTATGCAAATCAATGTTGCAAATCATGCAAATACATGTTAAAGTATGTTGAATTGCCCGCAGGGCCTGCTGCATGATCAGTACCCATGACCTTGACAATCTTCAGGATTCTAGCCTTCTTCCTTACTTTTCAGCACCTGTCAACTTCTTACAGATCCGCCCAGAAAATGCACATCAAGCGCATCCACTGCTTCTACAACCCACAGGAAACCACTGCCTCTACCACTCGCCAGCCAAGGTGCACATACCCCCACTGCCGACTCGGCGTCCGATGTCATAGCCTCAGTCAAGTCGCACGTTCCCCCCATGCGACCTGCGACCCCCCCGGTGGGTGCCCAACGAATCCACCAAGTCCAGCAATCGGAACCATCCCGGGTTGCAAGAGTGGTTGGAGGACAGGTCATGCGTACGGCCCAATTTGGTGTGCACTCCTGCGAAGCGATGCCAATGATGACAGGGACCATCGGAACCATCAGGTGACGACAGGACCATGTCTATATATAGGTGGATGACTTTCTCAAGTCTTCCTTGGCCCCATGTTACCGGTGGAGGATGCTTTACAGCGCAGCACTTGAAGGCGTTACAAATGATGGCCCATGGGCCCAATGGGCTTTCACAGCGGGTCGCTTCGCAGCAGCGGCAGCAGCAAGGCCCTCTCCGCAGCGACCGGGACTGGTAAGCCCCGCTGAACGGCCAAGGCCTGCGGCCAGTTTAGAGGCGAACGCCGAACACCATGAAGAACCAAACTCTCTCTCACCTTCCAATGAACAGGTGCAACTTTTGATGTCCAAAGCTGACCTTGAGGCATGTTGGGTGCTGGAATGATCATGTCCAAGAACTGTTCACCCAATCACTACCAGGTCTCTCACAGTTGGACGAGCTGGTTCTCCAAAGTAATGCTCAGAATTCTGTTCCACTTGAGGGGCTGGTGATGCTTATTACTAACCTACTACCTATGGCCTCCAACCTAGTAGCTTCTAGCTACTAGTAGCTTCTTGTTACTACTAGTAATGTCCTCCAACCTAATAGCGATGGCCTCCAACCTAGCAGCTTCTTAAGAATTGCTCACAAAGACAAAGACTTCACCGCCAGTGTCTTGGTGAAGTCTTGGAAGCTCCCACTTCACACCCCAGGATTCAGTAGCCATCTGCAGCTTCAGCGATGTGGAGGTGGATCCAAATACCCTTGGAACCTCCGCACCTGCAGCTCCGTGGTGTTCAGCGACGCATATTCGTCCTCCAAGGTGCTGGTGCTGGATGCCTGCGATAGACGATTCAAGGGCGATGAGTGTTTGGCCTGGCAAATGCAGCCTGGACAAATCCTGATTCCCGCCAGTTTTCACCAAACATGGATGTCGGAGCTGACCGTAGCTGTCCTACTATTGCAGGGAGGGGGACCAAACTCGGGCGAAGAAACACAGCGGATCACAGCGGTTGGAAAGATTGTGCCCTGCAAATGTACCAAGCTAGGCCCACTAGGCCTCCAAATGGTTCAGAAACCAAGATCCGTTTTACCTGTGAAAGACCAAAAGTTGTTCAAAAGGTGGTGAACTCCAAGAAGAACTCTGTTGAACCTGGTGAGCATACTGGCAACCCGGTCTGACATCTCGATGTGGGACGTCTCGGTCGTGGGCTGATCTTAGGACTGGGCTGGTCGGCCCTAGGCCTTGAAGCGCCAGGTCGGAAGAACGCTCTGCACGAAAGGTACAGCTCGGTATCTCTATTGCGTGAGCACCACGGTTGTACAAATTGAGTGTGTTCTCTCTTTGAAGGGGGGGTTTCACCAAGTCTATGGGCAGCACACCTATCGTGCTCAACTTCTGATAGCTGTTGAACGACCCTGTGAGCCTTGCCGATTCCAAACAGTTCCCAAAATGCCCCTGTGCTCGCGGCGGCACCTCGCTATGCTCGTCACTTTGTGACTGGCCCATTTGCACTACTCGCAACAACCAGCGGCCGTGCCTAAATTACTTGGCACGCTCACCGCAAACAAAAGGATCAGTGGGAGCAAACCATACTGAACATAAACTCGAACTACCCCATCGCGGTGTAAATACGTGACAAGTTCGTGAGTGATTGCTTCTTCGGGCTGTAAAGACCTGCCAGTTTTCCACTGAACAAGAACATCTGCTCATGCCAACACAATACGCACAACGAGCCTTATGGCAGCGTGAGTCAGTGGATGGCTCGTGCACCAGCAATCCCACAATGAATAGCTCAAACACCCACTAAGCACTGTGCATATGCAATCCAATCCCCCCATCCCATGCTCTGCTTAGCAGCTGGTTGAATATGCGCATGCTGAATGATTGAATGGGCGAAAACATGTCTCACATCCTGAAGCTCATGGCCGCTCATGGCCATGGGTCTTGGGATTCGTTCGGAAGAACTCGATGTCTTCATGAGGACGTTCCTGAATCTTTGAAGACGTTGATGTCTGAAACCCCAAAACTGGAACAAAAAACTTGGTTACGTACACTTGCTCTAGCTGCTAGCTTCAAAGGGTTCCGTGAACAGTAGCAAAAACGTGCAAGAAGGAGATCTTCAGTGCATGTCGGTACCAAATGACCTCCAAACTCCAAACGTACCCAATGACCTCCAAAAATCCAAACCTATATAATTGTATTAACCAATCAACAGGGTTCCGTATGCATTCCACGATGTTCCATGGGCCATCCACCAAAACATGTGGCAGGATACATGCAGGAAGTCTCAGGCCAACCAAACGGCTACTAGTAACAAGAAGCTATATAGTAGGTTGGAGGCCATCGCTTTTGGGTTGGAGGCCATTACTAGTAGTAACAAAAATCTATTAGTAACAAAGGGCATCGCTACGAACGGAGCAAGGGCGCAACTAGGGGCACTCCTGGCAATACTAGTAGTAACAAGAAGCTATTAGTAGTAGCTAGAAGGGGCCACCGGTTGAACTCCACGAGGCCACCGGTTCGAGCGAGCTTCGCCTTCGGATGGCGCCTTGGTTGACCAGGCCTGGGAGTCGTGCGAGGATGGATGAGGCGAGATAGAGTGCCCCTCCGGAATAGGCAAAAAAGCGACTGGCCTTGTTGAGCATGTCTTGAACTGGCTGGATTTAAAACATGTGAGCCTCACCGGGCCTCACCCCTCCTAAAGTGATTTGCTGCCATCACTTTTTGCAGCAAAATGAACTCGCCAGCGAAAGGATGTCTAAGTTCTTGACATCCACTGTATTTGCAACTGCCGGGTGCTTGGTCATGCTTAGTCATCTCTCATCCATTGGAATTTCTCCGCTCTCGATCTGGCCTGGGCTTTTTTTTTCCACGGTACCTTGCGACAGCCTTCGGCTTACTCCATGGCTCCACAAGAATCGTGGAACGGGACAAAGCGGCTTTGCTTGGGACGTTCGCCTCGACTAGCCGAGAAGTCAGGTAGATTCGGATGATTTGAAGTGTAATTGATGTGGGTTCAGGATGGTTGATTTCCAAGCTACCTGGCAAACGCACTTCATTCAATGCTGTACAGTTATTGAAGAACCCGTTTCTCTAAAGTATGCCACCTTCTCACCAAGGCCACCTTCAGCACCTCGACACCTGCTACCAGGCTTGGACCAGTATGCCATTTGGGTAGCAATGCACCTCCGGCATCCGAAGGCTGACCGAAGGCTGACACCTCCAAGAATGACCCCAACAATAACACCGAACGTAAGAGTCTAAGAAGGCGAAAACACAGGCTGCCTTGATTTCTTCAAGAACTTAATATGCCCAGGTATAGTGAACTGATTCACAGAGAGTAGAAGCTTCAAATCTTAGAGTCCAATAACTTTTTACTTTAAGTCCTGATCTCGGAGTCGTGCCGGCCACCTATGCCAGCTCTGCTGTTATCAAGGTGGCTGCCCCGCGGAGCCCAGCACATGTGTCAAAGCGCTTGAAATGTCATTGTCATGCACGCGCAAAAAATCACGCCTTGAGAGCAGCTGACATTGAAACAAAACCAACCAGCATGGAGACCTTTGGTGCTCTAGAACTTAGTCACCGTTGGCCGTTGACCTAGATGTTTGCATTTTCCACTCGCTCACAATTCGCACAAGCTCTGGTATTGAAAAGCACCGCAGAAGTTCCAATGGTATCGAACCAAGTCGCACATGTGACCGAGTCAGCTGCCTCTCGGCGCATACAACCGGTGGGCACTATACATGTCCACCTGTACGTGTGCACGTGCAGCACCCGACGCCTCATGTGTGGCCCCAATAGTCCCGATCAACAGAAGTCCTGGACAGCAGTTCTCGTGCGGGGAGTGGCGATGGGTGCTCAATCACTGATTTGTGGTAGATGTGGCCCTGCGGTATGCAAGTGGTAGCTGGTCTATGCTGGTCCTGGTGGCTTTGTGCGCAGTGGCGCTGGACGTGTATGTGAAGTTGGGTTTGTCTCGTTTTCTCTGCAAGGCTGAGATTGGCAGAAGGTGAGTGATACTCTTGCAAGAGGCTTGGTTTATGGTGGACAACTAGGTAGGCTTAGTGAGTGCCACTCTCAAATATTGGACAATATATGGCCTTCTCTCGGATGGCACGTTTAAGTACAGGGCTGGTTGATGGACTTGTGCGGGAAGCATCTTCCAGCGTCTCACGCTTGACTGCTCTATCCTGGACCTGGGATTTGGGACATGGAATCTATGATGTTTCGAAATGCTTCGAAGCTGGTTATTCCTCTTCAATATTGAGGATGTCAATTGCTTAGGTCAACAACATTGACAAACCCATCTCGTGTGTGCGGGAAATGTGCACTATATAGCACAATCCAACAAGAGAACTCAATAGGATTCAATAGCAACAACATCTGAAGCAAGCTTGATGATAAAATAGCCATTGCAGGGTTTCAGTTGTCTCTGGGAGTGACGCAAGTTTTGGTGCGGTACAGCTTGAGGACCCCTGTCTTATGTGCTGCTAACTCTGTGTTAATCTTTGTTCATTTGTCATAACTTACCTGACTTGAAAAATCTTGAAGGCTGCTTTGAGTGCTACAAACCTTCGGGATAAATGGGATTTGTCACCAAAAAACGGGAGACCACCAAATTGCAGCAGCTGGGGGCCTCCTCATTTTGAGACCAACCCCAACGGGCCCAACGGGCACGACATGCCACAGAATACAGATCCCCCAATCAATGACCTTTTGGTTGGGAGGCATGTTGGTTTCTGGCAGGGATCCCGTGATGCGACACGCTCCGACTCCAACCCTCAGTTTGTCGGACATTGCAAAAGGCCACGGACACCTCCAGAAGATCCGCGATCATCAGGTGTCCGCCAATGCGAGCGACCTCCAAAGCGGTCTTCTTGTCCTGTGAGAAATTGTGAACAACTAGCTCAGAATAGCTCGGACAGCCATGGGTATGGGTCAAACAACAGGGACAATACCAAACAATGAAGTATTGAGGTAGTATGCATTAGTGTGCTGGCTCGTGAAAAGATGTGAAAAGCATCCTGAATTACTTCCTAAGTTTCCTAGTCTCGTTGTGAAACAACATTAAACCATATTAACCCCCCAAAAAAAACTAATCATATCTCACAATAAAGTGATTTCTCTGGGCAGAACTCGTGCCTACAACATCGCAATCGCTGTGTGCGGAGAGTCTTCCCAGCCTTGTTGAGCACCAAAGGATTGGCCTTGGCGGCACAGAGCACGGAACAAATCTCCTCCGAGCCAGCCTTGGCGGCGCTGCGTCGATGCCGAACACCGCTGGGGCCAGTCTTCTCCAAAAAGGGGGGTGGCTTTGTAGCCTTGTGTGGTTTCTTTGCAAATCTCTATGCATCTTTGCACATCTGAGGACTCCAGTGAGACTTTCAAAGAGCTCGGTCCGACCACCCACCCACTGAGCTTCCCCGGCCCGTGCAGCCAAGTGAAGAGCAGTGTCGCCCCAGGGGTCTTGCGTGTCAACGAGAATCCCCTTGGCCAGTCCTGCGTGAAGATCCGCCAGGGAGCACCTGACGGTGCACCAAGTCGGACCCTTTCAGGAGGAAATTCCGAGGATAGGTCACGACAGGTAATAAGGTAGTCTTCTGGTGAAAAGGAAGCATCAACTAACCTGGGGATCTGAGGGGCTTACTCTCTGAGCTACATCCACGTGGCATGTGATCAATGGCCAAACCCTCCATCCTTCGAAGCCCAATCCCTTCTCACTCAATCGTCAATGTTGGCCAGGAATGGATGGACAACATCCCGTTGATGGTCATCCCCAGCTCGCCCAACCACACGGCACCCATGATCAATTCATGGGTAGTTCAGAGGTTTGCTTGCACAGTCTCCAAAATAATATCGACCCCCATCTAACAGGCGGTTTGTGCCATACATCATGGGTTGAACCCCTGTAAATCCACTGCCTTTTGGACACCCTACTCTGAAAACCACAGTCAATCAATGGGGTTGAACCCCTGTGCTGTCCACCTCAAAGCCGCCCAGTGCAAGTCGTTGCACCCGAAGCTGCAGTCCTCCTGACAGAGGCGGCTGGCGTACGTGAGGCTCATGTGGTTGTCGCAATGTGCCGAAGATGCACTGCTCGTTGGGCATCCTGAATTTAGACACATCCATCCCAGGGATTCCCATAGGTACTCCATAGGTATCCCAAGTTCAGCTCACCCCAAAAAGACGGACCCTTCCACCTCTTCATACCTCTTCACCCCTTGGGAAGTGAAGACACCCTCCGCCTCCACGGAGTCGCGTGGAGTGCTGGCGGCCGTGGAGTCGCTGGAGGAATCCTGACAAAACGACCAACCTCGGGGCCTCGGTTGTTGGGACACCATCAAGATCTCTATATATAATGCAGGTTATGATATATATATATATATGTGTGTGTGTGTGTGCATTCTACCTACATATATTGTATAATGGAGAGAGGGAGAGGGAAAAAGAATGAACAAAATCGTTATATGAATTTATATTGAATTTACATAGTCTCTTAATGTAGACTGGTATATGAATCAACCACCCCATACCACCCCTAAGGACTGGAGATTCAACACCATTCTGAAAGGTCTTGTCATCAACACTCTAC